TTCAACTTCATAAAATTGATTTATAAGATGAGATTTGTATTTAGATATCCAACAAATTGTTGGGTATCAGTCATACAGCACAAACACACAACTAAAATAGAGAAGATAAAATACTGATAATAAATATAAAGGAAATTTTAATTATGAGATCAAAGGAGAGAATGGGATGATGAAAGGGGAACCTTAAGGGGAGAATTTTGACCGGGGAGTCAATGGTCAATGAACAATGAGATGTGAGTCCAATTTTATAAGATATTGACACCACTCTTATAAACCACTCTACTTTCTCATTTCTATCCAATGTGGGACTTAGACTCACACTTGAATTTCCAATACAAATAAAAAATATTGTTAGAATAGACTTTAATGATAGGTTTGATACTATATTAAGAAATAAACTTTAAATCTAACCTAATCTCAACAAACTAATTTATAAGATGAAGTTTACACCTATTTATATAATATAAATTGGTATTATTCTATATGGAATTTTCAACTATGAGAATTTTGAAAGTAGGGTGAAAAGTGGCGAGAGAGGGAGAGAGAGAGGCAATCGAAGGTAACGTCGCGATCTTCAGGTCGAGTGTGCACACACATGTGTGTGGAAGACGATATATGTTGTTGGATAGTGAAAAAAGAAGAGAGGATAAGTGTGCAGGGCCATGTAATGTAATGTAACCCTTTCCTTTCCTTTGAATTATTGGCACAGCAGAGGAAGTTGAAAGGGACATCCACTGGAACATGGCTTATACCTCACACAGGACCCAATGCAATTAAATACTCTCTCACCCATGGACCCTCACTGAGTACTCATATCATCCAGGCCTCGATTAGACCGTACAACTAATTATATATACCATACCCATCATCATCACCATCCATTCATTCATGTATCTAATTTACACTCTCATTCACGGTAACCTATTTCTATTAGCGTAAAACATAATCAAGTCAAACTGCTGTCATCATCTCAACTTTACCACGTGTTCTCCGCACACTGGTTGTCGGCAAATCCCTCTTTAACCCACTCCTTCATGCTTAATTTATTCTTTAATTAATCAACTGATGTCATGATATGAGATGAGATGCGATGCTACTAATCATCATTATACTTACTAATCCCTTCCCAAACAATATTAATCAAATTGCGTTTTGCAAGGCTTGTCGGACATTACCACACACCACACTGTGTAAATACTATTCTCCTCTCAACGGCCAAACCGTGAGGTAATTAATTATTGCTACAATTTATCAAGCTTATCATCATGTGTGTTTCCTTTCTCTCACCACATCACTGTTTCTTTCTCCTTTTTTTTTCTTTCTTTATTCTGCTGTGAGAGTCAAAGAATTAGAGGATCAAGTGGTGTTGTGTTTTTTTGGGCTCAGAGGCTTACGTTAGAGACAGGCCAAGTTATAAGATCTATGTCGTAAGGAAAACATCATTACTTCATGCAACATCATCCATTCTGTCAACGCCCCAACTTCAAAACTATATATATATATATATATTATTACCAGGATGTGAATGATTGGAGAGACCAAAATGTAATACAATAGTCTTCACCATATAATTTAGGGTTCATATTTGCTCTTGTGCTTGAAGTTAATTCTTTAACTTGTTTAATTATTACCAATGTGAGAGACGTTATGATATAATAATTATATTTTATTTATTGATCTTAGATAAATACTGTTTAAGTTTTATGATAGTAATATTGCACAGACTTCTCATCAACTGACGTATATTCACTCTAATTAAGTATATAATTATATGACTCACAAAATTAGTATAACGCCAAAAAAATATTAAACCTAGAGAGATCGATATAGGTCATTTATTCAACCGCATAAACTTGTATACTAAGTTATCAAGACATGACTAAGAATGTGTGTATTTATTTGAGAGAATAAAAAAAGAATATTTTATTATGGAGATATATCACATTTATTTACTTATTTAAAAAAATGCAGTTAAGTTTTTTATTTTATTTTTAATGTATAAGAATACGCATTTAAAATAATCAAGCTTTTTAGAATGATAATAGTTTTTTAATTTTGAATTCAAGTAAGACAATTAATTTATCCATATACGCAGGTCTTAGTTTGGGTAAAGACTTCAAATTATTTTAGACAAATAAAATAAGTAATACATTTTTATTTTTTTATAACCAATATATATAAAACAAATTTTAAGAGCAAAATCCTCTCTCTTTTTTTGCTAAAGTGTTTTTGTTATTTAGACATAAAAGTTAATGAATATTTGAAATTCTATAAATTTATAAGAATGCTTTCATTACTTAAAATTAAAAAAAAATACTAAAAAATATAAGATATTATCTCACCTCTTTTATGTTCTCTCTCTATATATTTCTCCTTCTCTCATTTTCTCTTTTAATCTTTCTTTCTCCATTCTCTATCTTTTTTTGTTGGTTCTCTTATTCTTCCTTCCTTTATTCCTTTAATCATCTTCTCTCTTTGTTATGTCCCCCTTTAAGATTTTCTTCTTCTTGTTTCCCTTCTCTTTTCATTTGTACTTTCTTTTCTATATATTTTTT